GGGACGCCATAAAAGGGTATAGACGTGGTAGGTGTGTCCTATTTCAAATCATAAGCGCATGAAATGTAGCGTTATGCTATTTTGAGCATTTCATATAATAGCATCAAGGTTTCATTGAATTGGCACATGTCACGTGAAACTATTTCATCCCTACAAATACAATTCGTGTAGTTTCACATCAAAATGAACTTTAGTAGTGATTTGTGTATTGCATATATTACGTATGTGTTCTTAAAAAAGACCTATCTCGGATCATAAAAAATGCAAATGTTCATTTTGGAACCTACATGTACTCACCACAATGACGTCATATTATCGTTGTTTATTTATCGGGGTATTGTTGATTAACTGTCTATTCCATGAAGTCTAAAGAAACCAATAAATCTATATGCAGCGGATGTCACAAATCGAATTTGTTCAAATTTATAGCAAAGGTTTGCAAAAAGACAAGTTTACAGAAAGTTTAAGAAAGCAAAATAATTAAAAATTTCAAGAGTGTTTTCGTTGTTTAATGAGTCCATGCGGACCAAAATAGATATTTAACGTGACAAGTACCTGTTCTCAGTCTTATAAAAGTGTGTATACAAGCTGAAGAGGCCTCTCCAACATATAAAAGTCAAATAAGTTCTGACAGAAGAATAGTGGTTTATCAGCTCATTGTAACTGTAGATGTACAAACAGCCTTGTCACGACAGCTTTGTTGACATACAATGACGTCATCAGGATGTGTTATTTTTTCGCTAGTAACAACGAGAGGTATTACTGAGATAATTGTCTAAGACTATACAAGACAAGGCATTTTAATGTATTTTGCTACCATGGTATTTGTAAGAATTATTCTAACTCACATACATTCAATTTAACACGCCATTATTTCATTAATCTGATAGTAAATTAGCATTTATTACTCAAGACGGTATGAAATACATACATGATACTCAGCAGAAGCATAATTGTATATTGGAAGGGATGAATTAAGGTGAGTTAACTTGACACGTGATTTCAATAAACATGGGAGTTTCCCTATGCTTTGTAGACGACTCGTGCCCTGATCATGCATATCCAGAGAACATTTAGATTGAAACTGGGGCTTAATGGCACCCAGACTTTCAGAGTACAGTAAGTAAGTCCTCATTTTCTTGTTCCTGTAATTTGATTATTTCGTTTGAAATAAAATGACGACCCGTTGTATGAAGAAAAGATCTACATTTCTAGCCTTCCGTTCATTCTCTCCTCTCTCGTACATCATCGCGTGAACCGACGAGATGTAATCTTAACACACAAAAAACTGACATATTTTATGATGTCATAAAGAAATAGGGACAACTTGCGGTGTTTTAAATCCCACGACAGAGACTCCGTTGATGTGGTGGAGCTACCCATCTGACGCACGTCATTTGACCTTTAACTGACCTCCACCATGACCTAGTTTAGCCGCCATCTTGCAATGACGTCAGGTCACCGTGTCAACAGTAGCTGCGGTTTATTGTTTTCATCAGGATCAGGAACACTCCCATAGGAAATGGGCCCTCCAAATGACATAAGGTTGTAGAAAAACAAGCGGAAATAAGGATACAGTCTGTCAGGGGTATCTGACATTGTTCGCATTCACACAGCACCCAGCGAATACCAGCAGTGAAGTGGGTTTAACTTTCCTTTCACAGCCGTATTGACACAGCCGTTATGTGTGATAATAACTATATACATCGCATTATCTGATCATAATGGCACGTGCACCGCATCATATTTTTCATATCTCAGATTTTGATATTTTTTGCAAATCCGTCGGATATAGTCAAATGGGCGCGTCCATACTATGCGGTATTACACAATCGCATGACTTGCAGCCAACATTTCACCGTCCCAGATAACGCGCCTCTGTTTACTCAGTAAGACCCTTACCTGTTGATTAGGAAATATATGAGGTGTTTTCAAATTACACACCCCCATAATACGCTGTCCTGGGGCTGTAATTAGAAAAAAGGATTAGACCATCCTTCATAAAAGTGAGTGAATGAGTTGATGTGGGAGGGAAGCCCGAAGTTAAGCATGTCTTGGATGTTTATCACTTTGGTGAAACCAACGATCATGGGTTTGGTAATCACCAACCTAGAAACATCAAGGCGAATTTGGAATTCGAACTCACTATCATAGGTTTCTGGCACACCTAAGGGACGCAACTCTGCACGTCGAATTACGGTGTCTGAGACGACGAGCGTGCGCGTCGTTATTCTAAACATAATGATATTCTGAAAATTAACTCACACACACTGAGCAAGCGTGTACACATGGTACGCGGTATTTAACGTTAATTCTTAAAATTTTGCATTTTCCTCTTTTAAATTACATATTTCCCTTGACGCAGAGCCGAACTAGAAGATACTTCCTCTCGGAGCACTAATCAGTGTTATCGCTACTGAAGTGTGTAGTAACGAAGGTTCACGACGTCAGCGATGATGACGTTCTGTTGTGCCGAAGGGAAGATGTTGCGTGATGTGTGACGGTACGGACAACGTGGCCTTTAGGCACTGTGTTGTATTACTCGCTGTTTGAACACGACGTCAGCACTGATGACGTTCTAGCATGTCGAGAGGAAGGAGTTGTGTGTCGTATGACGGTGTGGACCACGCGCGCGCGGCCTTTAGACACTGTGATGTATAAATCGCTGTTTGATATTGGCTGTTTTACATGTCACTCCCCTGATCATAGTCTAATATTTACATTTTTCATCCACGCGCCCAAGGGGAGGTCGGCAGTTTCCGGCGTGGTTCCGGAAAACACATTACATAGTTATGACATGGGGTATTGTTGAAAATCATAAATGTGTATAATCTATGAAAACTGATATTTTAGTTTGATATCTGACAGTTGGATTTGAACTTACAGCACTCGTGCGCTGCTGCTGGCATAAGAGTACATGTGATCGGAAAGCAATTGTGGTGCCAATACGTCTTAGATGACCCATCCGTACACAATGGAAATAAATATCTATTTGATTTGTGGAAATGTGATGGCTCAGCACATTACTCAATAATTAACTCAGTTCAAATAAACCACCGGGTGGATTCCGTGTGAGTGAGTGAGTTTGGTTTTACGCCGCTTTTAGCACTATTCCAGCAATATCACGGCGGGGGACACCAGAGGTGGGCTTCACACATTGTACCCATGTCGGGAATCGAACCCGGGTCTTCGGCGTGACGAGCGAACGCTATAACCACTAGGCTACCCGACCGCCCCGATTCCGTGTGAGACTACGTCCCCAATGTTCAACTTATGATGAGTGAGTGAGTATGGTTTTACGCCGCTTTCAGCAATACTCAAGCAATATCACGACGGGGGGGGGGGGGGGGGGGGCAGAAATGGGCTTCACACATGTGGGGAATTGAACCCGGACCTTTAACCACTAGGCTACCCAAACGCCGTAACCTATGCTGGTCGTACGAGCTAGTGTCATAGATCGGGTGGTTCGTTGATCGTTGGTTTTGTGTCTCCGTACCGCGTAGATCGTTGCTCATGATATCAGTCACTGGATCATGTAGTCCCGACTTGTGGACACGGGTGGCCCAATCGTCTAAGGCGCCGCGATTCGCTGTGCAGAGTTGCGTTCCTTGAAACCTATGATTGAGGGTTCGAATCCCGGTTCGCCCCGATTATGTTTCCAGGTTTGTCAGCACCATACCCGTGCTCGTGGGTCTCACCGAAGAGGTAAACGTCTGAGACCTGCATCACTTCGGGCTTTCCTCCCACATTAAGTTGACACGCCGTGATATAACTAGAATACTGTAAAAAGCGGCGTTAACCGAATCACTTACTCACTAGTGCAGATTATTAACTTGCTGTGATTAGGTTGGATATTGTTGAACAAACAAACAAACACAAGAACTAATGCAACAATAACGGTATATACTGTACTGGTGATCTCTATTACCAGAGGGGCGGTCGGGTAGCCTAGTGGTTAAAGCGTTCGCTCGTCACGCCGAAGACCCGGGTTCGATTCCCGACATGGGTACAATGTGTGAAGCCCATTTCTGGTGTCCCCCGCCGTGATATTGCTGGAATATTGCTAAAAGCGGCGTAAAACCATACTCACTCACTCACTCACTCACTATTACCAGAACAAACAACGAAATGCATGTGCTACATTATCATGTGACAAGTCATGTGACAAGTCATATGACAAGTCATGGCCATGTAGCCGCCATAAGTCATGTGATGGGATTCGAACCATGGACCTCCCAACCCGGGGTCGGACGCCTAGCCCAAATGACTTAACGCTGCCAAGCCGGTGAAGCTGACAAGGTAGGGATGCCAGGGGTGACTCCTCCACTGCTACAGATGCACCATCCTTCCAACCATTACAACCAAGGGGCGGTCGGGTAGCCTAGTGGTTAAAGCGTTCGCTCGTCACGCCGAAGACCCGGGTTCGATTCCCAACATGGGTACAATGTGTGAAGCCCATTTCTGGTGTCCCCCGCCGTGATATTGCTGGAATATTGCTAAAAGCGGCGTAAAACCAAACTCACTCACTCACTCACTCCAACCATTACTACCACCCCGACTGTGGCGTAAAACAACATTCACTCACTCCCACGCAGGGAACGTCTATTGTCACGGGCGCAGGCGTGAATACCGACAGACAACGGCAGACAACGGCATACAAGGCCCGTATAATGAGACGGTCACATACAATGGTGCGAGGTCCCTCATGTTTAAACAAGTAGTTGTGGTTAATTTCCAAGCAGGTGTGATGGTAGCTTACATGGGACTTTCCTCTTAGCGTAGCCCCTCTAATCCCCCGTTTCGTCTCAGACCCCCCAATGAGGGCTAATCAAGGCTCCAACAACCACAAACAACCTCACTTTAATTCACTCCCAACTGATCTGAACATTTTAATTAGACTGAGACAGTCGTGTTATTTCCCCCATGACAACTTTCCAATCCATGTCCTGTTTGTTAATTTGCGGAGTTGTACCACGCTTAACTTTCGGCTCAACAAGTGTTTAAATTCCGGATACCAGCGTCTTAGCATGGGAATGCCAGCTTGTAAACACCCTAGTTGACGATGGCTTACACCCGCGCTCTGGCTGGAGCTGTTTCAGCGCCCGCGATCGCATCCACACCGTGCCTGTCATTGTGTAGAATATGGCCTTGTCTCTCACACCTCGCACACGGAATACTGCTGACGTAACATAATTTTATTGCATTGTCATGAATGTTCAAAAAATGTCAAATAGGAAACAGGATTTAACAGCGCAATCGTTATTATCATCACCATCATCACCATCATCATCACATCAGCATCATCATCATCACCCTTATCATTATCATCATCATCATCATCATCATCATCATCGTCATGATCATTATCAGTATCATCACCCTTATCATCACCAGGATCACCATTATCGTCATCACTATCATCATTATCACCATTATCACTACCCTTATCATCACTATCATCACCATTATCATCACCATTATCATCACCATCATCACCCTTATCACTACCCTTATCATCACTGTCATCACCATTATCATCACCATTATCATCACCTTCATCACCCTTATCACTACCCTTATCATTATCATCATCATCATCATCATCATCATCATCATCGTCATGATCATTATCAGTATCATCACCCTTATCATCACCAGGATCACCATTATCGTCATCTCTATCATCATTATCACCATTATCACTATCATTATTATCACTATCATCACCATTATCATCACCATCATCACCCTTATCATCTCTATCATCATTATCACCATTATCACTACCTTTATCATCACTATCATCACCATTATCATCACCATCATCACCCTTATCACTATCATTATCATCACTATCATCATCATCACCATTATCACTATCATTATTATCCCTACCCTTATCATCACTTTCATCATTATCACCATTATCACTACCCTTATCATCACTATCATCACCATTATCATCACCATTATCATCACCATCATCACCCTTATCACTATCATTATTATCCCTACCCTTATCATCACTTTCATCATTATCACCATTATCACTACCCTTAGCATCACTATCATCATTATCACCATTATCACTATCATTATCATCACTACCCTTATCATCACTATCATCATTATCACCATTATCACTACCCTTATCATCACTATCATCATTATCACCATTATCACTATAATTATCATCACTACCCTTAGCATCACTATCACCATTATCACTATCATCATTATCACTACCCTTAGCATCACTATCATCATTATCACCATTATCACTATCATTATCATCACTACCCTTATCATCACTATCATCATTATCACCATTATCACTACCCTTATCATCACTATCATCATTATCACCATTATCACTATAATTATCATCACTACCCTTATCACCACTGTCATCATCATCATCATCATCACCATGATCATTATCACCATCATAATCATCATCAAGATCATCACCATTATCATTATCATAATCATCATCATTATCATTATCACCATCATAATCATCATCCAGATCATAACCATTATCATTATCATCATCATCATCATTTTCACCATCATAATCATCATCATTATCATCATCACCCTTATAATCATCATCATCATCATTATCATCATCACTATCAACATCATCATGACCACTACCATCATAATCATCATCACCGTTATCATATTCATCTATCATCATCATCATCATCACCATCGAGGGATGGTAGTGTCGCCTAATGGTTCAGTGCTTGTTTGACAACGCAGACTCGTGTTCGATTCTTCAGCTGGGTACAATAAATGACACACATTCTTGATGTACCCGTCGTGATCGCCATGTGTATCATGTCACTGATGACCCGATAGTCGAGGTATTTGGTACATGGCTGAATTAATAAAGTTATTAAAGTGTTGCTTACTTTCTGTAGAAAACGACAATTCGAGAAAAAAAAACATTGGCGTCGCACTGTCCGCTATTAGTACAGTTTTGACTTTATGCACCCTGATGATGTAGCATTAACACTGCGCCAGCACCCCAATGAATTAAAACTGTAGTATCTGCATTTCTACACGCAATAGATGTAAAATGTATTATAAATACTTTACATATAAAACTACATGGTATATACATATATCATAATCCTTACTTTCTATTATAGGGGCACGGTTGACCCAGTCGTCTAAGGCGCCGCGATTCGCTGTGCAGAGTTGCGTCCCTTGGACACGCCAGAAACATATATGATTGTGGGTTCGAATCCCGGTTCGCCCCGATTATGTTTCTAGCTTTGTCAGCACCATACCCGTGCTCGTGGGTTTCACCGAAGTGGTAAACGTCTGAGACCTGGCTTTCCTCCGTGATATAACTGGAATACTGTTAAAAGCGGCGTTAAACCCAACTCACTCACGCAATACTTTCTATTTTAAGGAAATACCTCTTTGAATGTAAAAAAAATACATTGGTTATTAAAATTATTATCTCGAACGAAAGTCCCCATGCAGTCTTCCTACCTTTCTGCTTTCATTCCCGGCTATATCCATACATTGCAAGTGGTTTCTGTCAGAGCTCGGTAGTATATACATTTATTGTTTGTTTATCGCGACACGCCACAGTTACTTTCTCGCGTCTAATATTGCCTTGTTCACATACTTCAAAAGCAATATATATATATATGATTCGACGTCCCACTTAAATTGAAAAGTCTCTATCAAGATCGTATTTCTGCCAGTTCAATACCGTTTACCTGAAGCGAATCTGGCGATATCTGGCTCAGTCAGGGGCACCAGACACTGTAGTATATCATACCTTTTGTTTTCTAAAGAGGCGGTCTGTGTTTGTTTTTTCCATAATAAATTATGTTTCCCCCATATTGTTACCGTTAACAATAACGTTCTGTAATAACTTAGACATGTGTTTGAAGTAAAAATATTTGTAAAGTCGCATAAGGACTTACACACACACTCAGATAAGACACAATCTTACGTTTCCTATAGCAAAGAATTTAATCGGTTTTTTAATGTAATCGGTTATTTCAGCTAACATATTACCTGTTAACTTAAGACATATAAATTACCCTGACCAAACAGCGAGGCCGAATAAGCTGCCACGAAGTCTCCTAAACATAGTAATTGTAATACCACGTGGGCCGCCAGTCTTGTTAATGTCGTGGAGAATGTGACACAAGCAGCCATCGTTTCATCAAATTGATTCTGGACTTAAATTATCAAAGTAACTTATGAAGTACATTGTATGTCGGATTGGCCGGGTTCAAACGCCGGGGGCGTGTTTGGTTCCTGTTGCACATACCGAACGAATGAATTGATATACTTTGATATTGCCTATTAACGTAGGAATGAATGGATGTAAATGTCGCTTTGATATTGTCCTTTGCTACGTAACCGGCGTTGACAGCAGTGATGACACAATCCTATTCAAGTAATATTCTCATGGACGATGAGTAATAATAGAAGTGAAACCTATTGGCCACACGACCCTCCAATAGTAACGTACATCCACACCTATATGGCGACTGTGCTTGTCGTGAGAGGCGACTAACGGGATCGGGTGGTCAGGCTCGCTGATTTGGTTGATGCATGTCATCGTATCCCAATTGCGTGGATCGATGTCCTTGATGTCAACCACTGGATTGTCTGGTCCAGACTCGATTATTTACTGACCGCCGTCATATAGCTGGAATATTGCTGAGAGTTGCGTTCAACAACAAACAAACAAACAAACAAACATATAATGGTAATAGCATGTCCTTATACACTTTGCCCTAAACGTTCCACTATACAAAGGCGTCTTGGTTAGAATCCCTTTTCGACCTCATTATGTTTCTAGGTACCGTGCTCATGGGTTTCACCAAAATGGTAAATGTCTCATACTTTGGACTTTCCTCCCACATCAAGCTGACACGCCCTGATATAACTGAAATACTGAACACAAATCAAACTCACTCATTCACCCATGTAGGATCCTTTACAATGACTCCAGGAATGCGTCATTACTGCTGGAATGACGATTTAAGCCGCTTAATAGTATAGTCGTCAAGTGGCTTGAGTGAGTGAGTGAGTTGAGTATTACGGCACTTTTAGCAATGCTCCAGCCATGTATTTTAGAATTGAGCCCGGGCCTTCAGCGTTACGAGCCAATGTTTTAACCACATCCCACCGCGCCTTAGTGTGAAGATTTCAAGTGATAAGAGTGTTTGTTTGTTGTTGGTTTTTTTGCTTAACGCCGCACTCCGCAATATCCCAACTATATGATGGCAGCCTGTAAATAATCGAGAGTGCACCAGGCAATTCAGTGATCGATATTGTGAGCAACGATCCACGTTGTCTGGTTGCTGGAGACCCAGAATCCCCTCGAGTGAGTCAGTCAGTCAGTCAGTGATTCAGTGTGACGGCAATGTTTTGCATACATCTAATCATTTTATTCGTTTGTACAAAGTGTGTTCGAATCGGATCTCCGGCTGGACGAGCGAATGCATGAACTTGGCCACCCGCTTACCCTTCCAATAGAATAGAATCATATTCATGTCTTGCCTATGGCCCGATATAGATGTTGTTGTTATTGATGATGATGATGATGATGATGATTATTATTATTATTATTATTATTTCAATTGGAATTATTATTATTATTTCAATTGGAAAACGGCATGGGGTAGCCTTGTGGTTAAAGTGTTCGTTCGTCAATCCAACCCGGTTCTATCCAATATGGATATGTGTGTATCCAATCGGTGCAGCCCATTCTATGAGTGCCCCCCGCAGTGATATTACCTGAAATATTGCTAAAACTCACTCTAATTGATCACGGGTGAAGTATGCGAGGACTTAAAGTAATTTGATCTTTTTAACTGTCTTTACTTTTGGATTTATGTCGATATATCTATGACATTTAAATGCACGGATGACGACGTCCGTGTGATGCGCCATCACCGTGGGTATTCTCGCCCAGCTGGCTGTCATGGAGGTGGAGAGATGTGGGTTACATCTCCGAGACACTACGGGAAAGATTGAACGCTCTATTAAATCCTTTAATCAACATCTGTCTCATGACCAACAGAGTGTAAATTGGTTGTGTGCTTCAGCTGTGTATTTCTCGCTATCGCTGTCTACGGGAACGAACCGTTGTCATATATACTGTTCTTTGAAATAAAATGGAGTGAGGTGAAATAGGGTTTAATGTCGCGTTCAACATTACTACATTTATATAACGACATCCATACTTGTGTTTGTGCATGTGTGTGGCTGCTTGTACTAGTCCGGACTGATGCCGATTTTATAGCGCTAGCCCAGTGAGATACCATGCCAGGTTAACATAGATACACTCAGACACAGTATACTGACTCCGAGCGGACCAGTCCTTGTTTAGCCCCTTAATGCCGAACGCCAGGCAGGGTAACACCGAGTGCCATCTTTTAACGTCTTTTGACATCTTTTAACAGACCCGTTATCAGACCACACAACCAACATAACCAGATCACATAGCCATCCGGATACACAGCCTTCCTGATTACCCGACCACACAACCACCCGGATATCCAACCAGACAACCACCCGACCACACAACCACCCGGATACCCTTCCAGACAACCACCCGACCACACAACCACCCGGATATCCAACAAGACAACCACCCGACCACACAACTACCCGGATACCCAACCAGACAACAATCTCACCACACAACCACCCGGATACCCATCCAGACAACCACCCAAACACAACCACCCGGATAGCCATCCAGACAACCACACAACCACACAACCTCCCAGATACCCGACCACACAACCACCCGGACATCCAACAAGACAACCACCCGACCACACAACCACCCGGATACCCGACCACACAACCAACCGACCACACAACCGCCTAGATACCCGACCACACAACCACCCGGATACCCAACCAGACAACCATCCGACCACACAACCTCCCAGATACCCGACCACACAACCACCCGGATACCCAACCAGACAACCATCCGACCACACAACCACCCGGATACCCGACCACACAACCAACCGACCACACAACCGCCTAGATACCCGACCACACAACCACCCAGATACCCAACCAGACAACCATCCGACCACACAACCTCCCAGATACCCGACCACACAACCACCCGGATACCCAACCAGACAACCACCCGACCACACAGCCTCCCAGATACCCGACCACACAACCACCGGATACCCAACCAGACAACCACCCGACCACACAACCACCCAGATAAGCAAGCATGGGGTACTAAGGACGTATTATGTCTCGGACACAAAGCAGGGAGAAAAGCATGAACCACTAGAGACCTGTTCTGACCCGGAATCCAAACAAGCATGAGGTACCGGGGATCTGTTGTGACCCGACATCCCTACATTAGACAAGCATGAGGTACCGGGGATCTGTTGTGACCCGACATCCCTACAGGAGACAAGCATGAGGTACCGGGGATCTGTTGTGACCCGACATCCCTACAGGAGACAAGCATGAGGTACCGGGGATCTGTTGTGACCCGACATCCCTACAGGAGACAAGCATGAGGTACCCGGGGATCTGTTGTGACCCGACATCCCTACAGGAGACAAGCATGAGGTACCCGGGATATGTTGTGACCCGACATCCCTACAGGAGACAAGCATGAGGTACCGAGGATATGTTGTGACCCGACATCCCTACAGGAGACAAGCATGAGGTACCGAGGATCTGTTGTGACCCGACATCCCTACAAGAGACAAGCATGAGGTACCGGGGATCTGTTGTGACCCGACATCCCTACAGGAGACAAGCATGAGATACCGGGGATCTGTTGTGATCCGACATCCCTACAGGAGACAAGCATGAGGTACCGGGGATCTGTTGTGACCCGACATCCCTACAGGAGACAAGCATGAGGTACCGGGGATCTGTTGTGACCCGACATCCCTACAGGAGACAAGCATGAGGTACCGGGGATCTGTTGTGACCCGACATCCCTACAAGAGACAAGAATGAGGTACCGGGGATCTGTTGTGACCCGACATCCCTACAGGAGACAAGCATGAGGTACCGGGGATCTGTTGTGACCCGACATCCCTACAGGAGACAAGCATGAGGTACCGGGGATCTGTTGTGACCCGACATCCCTACAGGAGACAAGCATGAGGTACCCGGGGATCTGTTGTGACCCGACATCCCTACATTAGACAAGCATGAAGTACCGGGGATCTGTTGTGACCCGACATCCCTACAGGAGACAAGCATGAGGTACCGGGGATCTGTTGTGACCCGACATCCCTACAGGGACAAGCATGAGGTACCGGGGATCTGTTGTGACCCGACATCCCTACAGGAGACAAACATGAAGTACCGGGGATCTGTTGTGACCCGACATCCCTACAAGAGACAAGCATGAGGTACCCGGGGATCTGTTGTGACCTGACATCCCTACAAGAGACAAGCATGAGGTACCGGGGATCTGTTGTGACCCGACATCCCTACAGGAGACAAGCATGAGGTACTGGGGATCTGTTGT